TGGGTTACTGCTGGGCTGCTGACCGCAAGGCCGGCAGTTTGGATGCACCAGCTGCCCTGTGGGAGAAAGATGTCGCTTTCTTCTACGCTTTAGAATTACAGTCTCGCAAACCCACGCACGGGCCAGCTCAGCCCTGCCCGGCAGGATCGCCGAGTCCGCATCTCAACGCCTGGACGGCAGGGAGTCTGGTTTGGGATCTTGGTGACCAAAGCCCACTGTGACTTTCACCAACGGAAGCCCAGGCCTGCGTCCCCAGCAGCAGGTACTCTGTGTCTCATGACGTCCACACCACTCCAGATCGCTCCGCGCCCATCCAGTCCATGCGGACTCGGAGGAACCCTGTGGAGGGTTTCCGAAGCCATCAGTCCTCACGGGGCAGGCGGCCTCGTCTTGTGCACATGGGGCCGCTGGTGGATTTGAACGACTGACCCAGTAGTCCCCAGTCCAAGGGTGACCCAACACCACCGCCGACTGGACTCTGTGCCAGACCCCCAGCCCCGGCCAGGAAGCTGCCCTCCGTGGCACCCACAGCCCACAAGCACAACAAAGGTCCAATCGCGTCAGTGGCGCCAGGCTCGGCTGGCCAGTGGCCTTCATGGCAGAGGGGAGGGTACAGAGGTCGTGCTGACTCCACAGGGGTCATGCCGGCAGATTTTCCCCAAGGACAAAGGATGGTCTCTGGAGCTTCCTGGGAAGCAGTGTGAGGGGAATGGAGAATGACCTGGAGACAAGGGCCAGGAGAGGCATCTTGAGAATCCACTTCCCAGGAGGGCTGCCCTCCAGGATTTCACCAGAGCCCCTCCCCAGGCCGTGCACCTCCAGGCTCCATCGGTGGTAGACTTCTTATTGGGGAGCGGGGGGAGGAGCATTCCCTACCACAGAGCATAGTTGCAGGAACATGAGCGGAGTCCTGGAGGATGCCGAACGGTGGCTTTGCTGCGGCCTCAATCGAGGGGCAGAGGCTTCTCCGGGGAACGACGGGCGAGAGATGGGCGCAGCTCGATCACCGCACACAGGCCTGGTGGAGGACAGGCGAGGCCTAGTGGAGGAAGAGCAGCCTCCCACGCTGCGTGCTGTCCGTGGTTTTGTGAGGAGCCCTCCCTCGTGATTCCGCCCTGAGCAGCTACTGCAAGCTTGGTTTCGGCTTCAGGTGATGAAAACCCATGTTGGCCTCACTTTGTTTATTTTTTCATTCTAGGAACGTGAGCTCTCTGTTTATTTAAATCCTTTTATTGGGGGCTCGTACAGCTCTTACAGCATTCCATGCGTCCACTGTATCGGACACATTTGCACCTATGTTGCCACCATCACTTCCAAAACATTTCCTTTCTACTTGAGCCTTGGTATCAGCTCCTCTTTCCCGCTCCCTCCCCCACCCTCTCACCCTTGTGAATCCTTGATCAATTATACATTGTTATCATGATTTCATATCTTATACCACCTTCTGCTTGACGACCATTTTCACCAACAGAAGGTCTGTGGGAAGACAGGGCTTTCTACCCCCATAAAGTGTGACAGTCTTGGGGACCCACGTGGGGGGGGGGTGCTACGAGTCAACATCAACTAGAGGGCAGTGAGTTTAGTTGGTGTTTTGGGGGGAGGGTCTTAGGATTTTGTCCTTGCCTCTAGACTGTCACGCATTACACATCAGAGTTCAGAGTTGCTCCCCCGAAGCCCCACGTCCTTCACACCCTTCCTCCCCACTGTCAGGGAGTTTGCAAAGACCCCCAAATAGTGGTCACTCCCAGGGTTCTGCCCGGCCAACTCTCATCACTCAGCCAGCACCACCAGGGACCAATATTTGCCCCAAAGGAGCACTGGAGATCCATCCCCAACGACCCCTTTCTAGATTAACATCAAGATCATCCATATAAATCTTATCTCATCCATCAATCAGGAGAACGCCTTTAAAACTTCCTAATATTAGGGGGCCAATCACAGAAATGTGGGTGAAGGCAGACAATGGACAGTGTAAAGATACGACATAGCAAAGACAATATATAATTGATCAAGGGTGCAGGAGGGTTGGAGGGTGGGGTAAGAAAGGGAAAAAAGAGGAGCTTATACCAAGGACTCAAGTAGAAAATGTTTTGGAAATGATGACGGCAACATATGTACAAATATGCTTGATACAACTGATGTATGGAATGTTATAAAAGCTATAAGAGCCCCCAATAAAATGATTTTTTTAATTCCTAATTTTACAGAGTTGCCTTAAATCTCAGGAAATCTGGCAAAAATGGAAGTAAGACGGGAAGCTGGTCAACATTTCAAGGTGCCTTCCGGAGTGGGTGACGACCATGGCCCGTGACCCAGTGGCACGCCTGGGCACAGGTTTCTTTCTGCAGGAAGCGGTCACGGCCCTACAGCGCTGAGACCCCAGGTTCAGATGTGGACGTGGGTTTCCGACAGGATGGTTACGGCTCCCGGCTGTACCCTGGACGTATCTCTCTCATGGAACATGACCTATGCTCACAGTCCACAGACCTCTGAACACCAGTGATGAGACATGCAGAGCTCCGCGGCTCTGGGACCGGCGGGCCTGCTCTGTGGGGAGCAGGTATCCGGTTGCTGTTGCTGTTGCAACCCCGTGCACCACAAAAGGATAACCACCAGTCCTGTTCTTGCGTCTGAGCCCGTTGTTGCAGCCATGCACCGATCCTCTGCCGTCAGCCCTCCGCTTCACCAACATGACGTCCTTGTCCTTGTCCGGGAACACGTCTCTCCAGACATGTCCCAAGTACATGAGATGAAGCATCCTCGCCTCCAAGGAGCACTCTGGCTGGACTTCTTCCAAGACAGATGTTTGTTCTTTCCGCAGTCCGTGGCCCTTTCAGTGTTCCTCACCAGCACCGTGGTACAATGCACCCATCCTGCTCCAGTCTTCCTTAATCAAGGGTCATCTCTCACATGCACACGGGTGTGATAGGTAGGTTCATTGTGCCAACCTGGCCAATAAACACATGTGGGATTAATAAGGGGGCAGTTTAATTGAAGGGCAAAGAGATAAATGGATCGGACAGCCTCGCCTTCCTGTCTCCTGCTCTCTGATGATCAGACCAGTGTGCAGCTCCCTTAGCTAGTTCTCCACCTCAACCTGCAAGCTACACTACCTGTGGGACACCCAACCCGTGGACTGTGTCGCTACAGTTTGAGGTTCCTTCGAGACCTGCTTCGCCACACTGCTGGCGTATACATCACTTGAGCCAGGGACTGTCGACCCTGTCATCTGGCTGACTGAGTGACCTGTCCTGCTGTTTGCTGCCTGTGGCCGGACTGCCTGCATTGCTCCACAGAAGACTCAGTGTCTGCTTCCTTGACGTGCACCCAGCAGCCCTCGTGAGTTGCAGGTATGCCAGTGTATTAACTGTCTCACGGAAGTGAGCTGAACTGAGCCATTTGCACTGCTCTGTGGACCAATTAGCGGCTTGTTTCTTCGTGCTGTATCTGTCTATCCATACGTATGTACACACACACACACTTATCTGTATATATATAATCCTACGTGTCCTGGCCGGGGTCAGGCACACCTTCGTCCTCACAGTAACCTCTTTGCTTCCCCACCCTCTGAAGAGATCGCATGCAGCAGATGCACCAATGGGATTGGGTCATTGATCTCGGGACTGTGGCTTCCGCCACGAGCCTTGACAGTGGATCCAGACAAGATGAAATCCTGGACAACTTTGATCTTTTCTCCACAAATCACGGTGTGGCTCTGGTCCAGCTGTGAGGATTTGGGTCTTCTCAGCATTGACAGCAGCTACAGTCCCTGACTGTCACCGTCACATGGTGTCTGCAGTGAGCAGGAACCACACGGACACTCAGGGCAGGCACACGGTCGACAGTTACCGTCAGCCAGGGCATCTTTGCCATCTGCCAGAAGAGCTTCCATGGTCACTACGGTGCCGACCAGGCAGCCAGCACACCTATGGCTGTGCAGAGGACCTGAGTCCCATCCATAGCAGAAGTACTGCTCCCCAGCCTTGGTCTGAGACAACACTCAGACTGTGACCCAGCCTTGGGGTGAGCGGTGGGTTCAAACCGCTGGCCTTGCCCTTAGCAGCCCAAAGCTGAAAGCACAGTGCTGCCAGGCTCTCTTTAGAGAGGAC